TTCCAGCTCCCCAGATACTCCGCGTACTAAAGTTGTACTACAAAGTCACCAGTTCTCATCTTCCAGCTCCCCAGATACTCCGCGTACTAAAAGTTGTACTACAAAGTCGCCAGTTCTCAGCTTCCAGCTCCCCAGAGACTCCGCGTGCTCAAGTTGTACTAAAAAGTCGCCAGTTCTCAGCTTCCAGCTCCACAGATTGCTCCGCGTACTGAAGTAGCACTAGAAAGTCGCCAGTGCCTGCATTTCGCGCACTCGGCACGCACGATCTCCGCAGATTGCGCGCACACCGGACAAATCGCACTCTCGCCTGCATTTCGCGCACTCGACACGCACGATCTCCGCAGAGGGTTGCGCGGGCACCCGGCAAATCGCACTCTCGCCTGCATTTCGCGCACTCGACACGCACGATCTCCGCAGAGGGTTGCGCGGGCACCCGGCGAATCGCACTCTCGCCTGCATTTCGCGCACTCGACACGCACGATCTCCGCAGAGGGTTGCGCGCACACCGGACAAATCGCACTCTCACCTGCATTTCGCGCACTCGACACGCACGATCTCCGCAGAGGGTTGCACTTTCGGTTGATGCTGTTTGTCCCGCACTCCGCCTTTAAGAGAGAACTTATAAAGTGGGAAAATGTTTTTCATTAGGACATCTCCCGTGCTAGTCTTCCATACTCACACTTGCCTACTCATTGCATGCTTGCATAGTCATTGCATGCTTGCATACTCACCCTTGCATATCATGCTTGCATACTTACACTTGCATACTTTGACACTGGCATACTTCGCACTTGGATGCTTTCGCTCTTCCAGTGTGTGTGTGTGTGTGTGTAAGTGTGAGTGTCGAAGTGTAAGTGTCGAAGTGTCAGTGGTCAAAGGATTTCCGGAAGAACCCTTCGCAATGCTTTCGGGAAAAATAGGTTCCTTCGATTCCTTTGAGTGGAATGCTGGTCAAACTGCCGGCCGCTCGATATTCCAGAATATAATAAGCATATCGCAGTTTTCATGAAATGCTTCCAAAGTTGCCGCCATTTGTTCTCCTTTTTGGGCCCAGCCAACCGCACGGGTCCTGCCTGTGTTGGCACCAAGTTTCAAAGCATTCAGTATCAAGACTTTGCCACCTTAACACCCGCCGCCGTAAAGCCAAGGCTGCTAAGGTGCGATTTTCTTGGCAAATGCAGACCTTATCAATGCGTGCTCGCCGCCTTGCGAAACCTCGGATGTGGAGAGCAGCTGCACCGGAGAGCAACGCATACGTTTCTCCACAATCGGGGACGAAAGTCCTTACAACCTACCAACAAAAACGTCAGGACCCGATCAAATGTTTGACAAGATGCTGGAAATACATCCCAAAGCAACCATGCGATGGCCAATCTCCGTAGAAAACCGCCTATAGGCGTCACCATGGCAAAATGGCCACCAAAGTCATGTGTCCCACTTCACGGACGCTTGAGCCACCGTTGGTGCGAAAATCCACCCCAACAATCTGTAATACCCTAACTACCCCGCTGCCACTCCATATTATATGCTACGATCATCAACGGCTGTTTTCTATTATGTACTATATACTTTTGACCGCTCCAAGGGTTTTTTGTACAAAAGTCTGAGCAACTCCGAATGCGGATTGTGTAGCACAAACCGCCCTTGAAACCCCAACTGTGCTCGCCACAACCAACACAACACAAGGACCCGAGGGAAATCACTCCGCAACACCCACTGCCTCGTTGAAGGTTCCTCAGGATTGGACTGTTCGGCCAGGTGCATACAGAAGTCAGTTCAAAGGCAAAATGGTCAACAGAAGGTAGTTTTGAAGGCAAAATTTGTCTACAGGAGGCAAGTTTACAGGCAAAATTGTGCACAGAAGGCAGTTTTAAAGGCAAAATCGTTTAGAGACGTAGCCCACATCATCGGAACCAGCGAGGTTCCAATCATGCGCAAATGTCGTATCGGCACAAATGCTGCATACTGAATGACCCACACTGGAGGAAACCAAGCGCGCATCTTCCACTGAGATTGGTCCCAAGAACATCGAATGTCAGCTGAGCTGGTTCAAGCACAAAGGCTGTGATCTTGAAAAACACCCTTCCAACCAAACCTCAAACAAGAAGTTTCTGCGCTGCGTGAAGCTTATGAATGATCGGCGTCACCTCTTGCGTGAGGTTCGTTCGTCAGCGTTGCTTCCAAAGATCCTTTTTCAGTGGGTTTTCCTTGAGCTGCTCGCTGAACAGACCCACAATTTGTTAATGTGCCCTTCGGTCTCGTCAAAATTCGAAAAATTTATGTATGTATCCTCCACATCTACCCAGGTAAAAATGCATACTCGAACAGGAACAGGCTTGAAGCCACTTTCCTCCGGTGCGTATGTATATGCAAAGCACTCATCGCTGTTCATGTGATGTCGTGATGACACGCACAAATCGAGAACACCGCAGGCCCTTTTGCAGTACCAAAAGGTCCGCATGGTAGCGGAGCCGAGGATCACCATTCCGGAAGGTCTGGTGTGAGGCTCCAGGACCGAGCTACATGGATCTTGGCTGACAGGCCACGTCCTTGCCTCGAGGTGCCTGAGGCCATAGCGGCTGGCAATCAGAGCCAGAGGGATCTTGGAGAAGGAGATCGGCAATCACTGCTAGAGACTCCCTCGAAGTGAAGATCGCTTGGAAGAGAACGAGGGCACTTGCTTGCACCTTTTTTGGGGGGGCCTCGACCTGAACATCCTGGACTTTGAGAACATCGAGCTCTACGATGACGGGGCAAGGAGGAGACCAGCCCAAGCGGTTCTGGATGGCGCTGAGGTCGCCCGGAGGATGATGCAAGCTACAGAAGCCACAAGCGGATGGAGAGTTCGTCAACGACTTCAAGGATCTTCGGGAACTCCCTGAAAGGCCAGTGGACCCTTCCGTATGGGGCGATCGAGAGAAGCAGAGGAGCAACTTTCTCTATTCCATCCTGGCGCCCTTGGTGAGGCAAAGGCCATTGGCTCTGATCAAACAGGTCAAACAGGCCAACCGACTGGAGGCTTATAGATTGTTGATCAACAGCCTTGAACCAGCAAGCAAAAACCGGTCGTTAGGGCTACTGACCATGATCCTGGAGTGGAGTGCCTTTGACAATTTGATGGGAAGGGCAACCTGCTCAATCAGTTGCTCAAATTCGAGGAGGCCTTTGGGGAATACGAGCGAACAGGCATGAAGCTCGATGACACCATCAAGTTCGCGGTCCTCATGAGGTGTGTGACTGGGCAATTGAAGACCTGGCTACAGCTGAATGTGGCCGAGACCCAGGACTACAGCAGACTGAGAGAAGCCATCATACAGTATGACAGTGCCACGCTGAAGTGGAACAATGCCATGATGTTGGGCCAGGAGGTGAACAAGGATGGTGCAGTTCCCATGGAGGTCGACAGGATCATGGAGAAAGGGAAATTTGGTAAAGGCAAGGGTGAGGAGAACCCGAAGGGAAAAGGCAAGGGCGAACAGAAGGGCGGCAAGCAAGGAGGCAAGGGCAAAGGCCAGCAGAAGGGCCAAGACCATGGAGGTGGTGGCAAGGGCCAACAAAAGGGTTCATGGAAGCAGGAAAGCCTCACAACCTGTGAAGGAGTGCTTCGCATGTGGCAAACCAGGCCATCTAGCCCGAGATTGTTGGAGAAAGGTGAGACATGTGGTGGACAGCCAAGGCTCACCAAGTGATACTGCCACCACGGTGACAACAAGCTCAAGCCAGGCAACAACCACGAAGCATCCTGGCATCAAGCGGATTGAGTTTGTGGAGGAGGATGTTTCACAAGTTGCACGAAAATTCGATGAGGTGATGATTTTTTACCTGAGGCCGAACACAGGTGATGGCACTGTTCGGATGATCAAGTTCTATCACTTGGCGGCTGAGGACAAGGACGATGAGGACAACTCTGAGGGAGAGCTGACCTATGGCGTCAGGGTGGTGCAAGATGAGGAGGAGGAGGAGGAGCAGTACTTCAAGAACCATGAGGGACTTTGTCAAGTGATCCTGGACTCGGGGGCCGATGCTACCATCCTGCCTGCTTCCTACCTGCGAGCAGGTTCAGAGTTGTTGGAGAAAGCACCACGGCTTCAAGACGCTCAGGGTGAACGGATTCCCATCAAGGGCTACAAGAACGTCAGCTTTGTCTTCACAGCAGGGGATGGAAAAACAATCCTCATCAGGGAGAAAGCGCACTTTGCTGAAGGCATCTCCCAACCTATCATCTCCTACGGCAAGTGGATGGAGAGTGGATGGGGGATAGATGGATGTGATCATGCCCTGGTCGTTGGAACAGGACGAGGAGGCCAAGTTCGCATACCATTGAGGTTGCAGAACAAAATCTTGGTGGCTGACTGTCATGTACGTGCCATCGGTGCTGGAGCTCACATGGAGGAGGGCCTGAAGGCACGGCTGTTGGACGACTTGGAAAGGAAAGCCAAGTTTCAGAGTGATTGGAAGCAGGATGGGGAGACGTGGATTGGGGATGATTGGGGTGTGCACCCGGCCAAGAAGTACCAGAGCCACCGATCCATGGGAGCAATCTCAGAGGCCACACCGTGGAGGAGGACCACTTTGATGAAGAGTGGGCAACAGTGGCTGCTCATGGAGATGTGTGAGGACTTGCACTCCATGAAGGATTAAGAAGAACCTCTCGAGGGAACTGAGGAGAATGTGATGGTGATAACGATCCTCACAAAGGAAGGCATGACCACAGAGCAGGTGGGTTTCGAGGTGGATGCCGAGATCAAGCCACCAGCAGAAGTGATAGAGGCCAGGGAGCATGAGATCCCGATAGATGAGCCCAATCAACCTGGAAGCCCTGATGAGGGTATGCAAGAAAGGCAAGAAGGTGAAGCTGAACAAGAAGGACGCCTTGTGGTGGGCCAGCAGCTTCCAAAGAGCAGCATTGTCAATGAGGTGGAACTCAGGCCGACCTCAAGGTTGAGAGAATTGAAAGCTGCCTGCAAGTGCTTCCAACGACTGGTTAGCCATGTGAGGGAGGCTGAACTGAAAGCAGCTTCTGAAGCAGCGGCAGCAGCTCGAACGCAAGAGTCGCGAGAACCACGAGGCCAAAATCTCATCCCAGGGGCTGGACCGGAGGAGCAGGAAAGGCATTGCCTGACACATACCCCATATGCTCCTTGGTGCGAAGCATGTTTAGTTCATAGAGGACGACCAGACAGGCACCAACGGACGTCAGCCTCGACTTCTGCTACACGAAGGCGGGAGTGGTGGACCGAAATCCGCAGGCATTGGACCGTGGAGAGATGGAGCGTGAGGAGGTGATTGATCTTTTCGGTGAGGGAGAGCAGCAGGATCATGGAGAGAGAGAGAGAGAGAGAGAGACAGCAACCACCATTACGTGAGGTGAAGGCGGCTATGTGGCTCATGCTGGTGTGTTCGCAAGCTGGTGCATTGGGAGCTGTCCCACTGAAAGGACAGCACAAGATCCACTTGATGGCAAGGGGGGTGATGACCTTCATCCAAGGTCTGGGACATACCGAAGTGGGAATCTACAGTGACAATGGCCGTACGCTTCGATCCGTGCTGAGAATCATACTCAACAGCAGACAGGCCATGGGCCTGAGGACCAAAATCTACACCACGAAGGTGATGGACTCCGCAAAAATATCCTGGCTGAAAATGCAATCCAGCGGGTAAGAGGCTCAGCATGCACCATGATGGAGGACCTGATGAGCCGCACTGGATTGAAGATCAACACAAACCATGGTCTTCGGAGTTGGGCAGCAAGGCATGCATGCTGGACACTCAACAAGTATCAAGCCTCGAGAGGAATCACAAGCTTCGAGTTGGTCCATGGGAAACCCTATGATGGTTCTTCCCTTTCGGTGCCCGTCCTATGCCTACAGCAAGCCCCAAATCGGGCAAAGGAAATCCTAAGTGGAGATTGACACTCCTCATCGGCGACAAGATGCCTACATTAGATGAAGGTGAGGAACTACCCTCATTGGAGGAAGTTGGCGAGCCGGCCCCAAGGGCCAAGGCAAGGATTGCAAACGCCACCAGCTCCTGAGAGTCAGTCTGGTGATGAGGGCCCTACAAGAGTGGAAACCCTGGTGGTTGAGGCACGGCCATGGAAGAGGAGTCATGAGCCATAAGGACGAATCCTCAAGAAGACACCACCACCAACTACGGCGGTGAGGGTGGAGCCTCAACATAAAAAGGCTACAGCGGAGGAGGGGAGTGCAAAAAGGATGAGAAAGGGTGAACCAGCAAGAGGTTCCGGAGGAGCTTCATCATCAGCGGCAGGGGGAGACACCTATCTGGACATTGTGAACGTCGCATGGGGAAAGCCCAGGTGGGTGAAGAGGAGATGTATCACCTGGACGAGGTCATTGACGTTGAGACCATTGAGGGGCACTTTGACGGTGGTGACAAGGAGAACCCAATCCCACATGGAGTTTGGAGTGATGAAAAATTAAGCAGAACGCCGCCACAGCCATCCTGGGACGTGGAGCTCTTGGCTGATCAAGTGGAGGAAAAAAGGTTGAAGAAAATGGGAGTGATAGAGGACCTCGATGTGACCGACATTGGGCTGGGCGAACTTTGTTCGAGACTGGCGGGTGAAAACGAGGCAGATGCCAGATGGTAGCTCAAAGAAGCAATGGATGAGAAGACCTAGGTTGGTAGCCAGGGAGCACGCAGTGGACAAGAGAGACGATGCCGACTCTCCTTCCGTGAAGGATGCATTTCTACAAGTACCTCAGAGAGAGAAGTGCAAATCACTACTCCTCAGGGGAGGCACAAAGTCCTTCGTAATCTCCCTGGACAAAGGATTGGAGCAAAGGCGTGGTATGAGCACATCAGGAACCACTTGGTGGAGGAGCAAGGTGACAGCGTTTTGTGGAAGAGGAAGTATGAAGTGGTGGAAGAAGAGGCACTGGTTAAGCCAGGCCGGCTTCGGCAAGGGTTCAAGCAAAGGTCCTCCATTTTCTTGTTGTCCTCCGATCAGTACGAGATGGTCCAGTTTAAGACTGCCCTACGCAGCAGCTGCTGCATTCAGTGAAAGCAACGAACGCCTGACCAGCAAACATTCAATGTGCTGGGTGGTAAAGACCCCGAGGTTTCATGAGCGGCTAAGGTGGCGTTGGATTTGGCAACGGGTTCACGTAGTAGTTGTTCCAAGGTCCTCCCTTCCCATCATTCCGACTGTTCCT